TGATGCTATACACGTTTTCGAGCCACCATCCAACTTCGCAGAGAACCTCCGACGGGTCTTTGAGGGCGAGGATGGAAGGTGAGGGATTGAGGCGATTGGATTCACTCACTTGATTGAAAACGTTGTTACCCAATCACCGGGTGCAGAATAGAGTTTATAGTCTCAGAGTACCGACTTGGCTACCTCTACCTACCAACCTACCTACCAACCTACCTACCTACAAAGTGCTGGACATGTCCATCAACCACCCATCATAACATCCTCCCACCGCTGCTTTTCCTCCTCCTCCTCCTCCTCCTCCTCCTCCTCATCATCATCAACATCGAAAACCCAAACACTGAACAAACATCAGCCCTCGCAACCCTCCTCAGCGACTTGTTAGCCCGGTGTGGGCCCCCTCCCCTTCCTAGATAGCTGCCATCAGCACGTGCACCTGCCTACAATAGATCAATGGATGGGATGGCCAGCCCACCTGCTCGAGCGAAGAATGCCGCACCCATGCAACTATCCTCTAGCCGCATATGCACAAAGAGAGGGATCCGGGGGGTTCCAGTCAAGCTCAAAGAGAGGCAGCGTCAAGACTGCTCTTCTTCCGCACGGCTTCTATGGCGTGGACTGGGCACTGCAGACATCGGATGAAGGTGTGTGTGTGTGTGTGTGTGTGTGTGTGTGTGGCTTACTTAAGCCAGTTTGGTTAGCATGGAGCGCGGCAAAGCGCTTGCATGGGAGACCCCAACGCGTTAAAAAGCTGTCTTCTGCAGCCCTATGACGCAGAGAGAGGGGTACAATGGCGTCTTCTTCTGCCCTTTTGGTAGAGCAGAGTCCTTGCTCCGAGGTTGCTGATACTGGCTGCTATCTAATCGAAGTAGTCATCAGTGACTACAATGACTACTCTGATTATACACATCATCACCATGACTGTGTATGACCATGGTTATGATGGTTATGACTACGACCATGACTACGACCATGACTACGACCATGACTACGACCATGACTACGACCATGACCATGACTAGTCTGCATCCTCATGCAAATCGTCCGGTCCATCTCATCAACAACCCACCACGTGAAGCTGCAAGATCTCACAACCTACGCTTCCCATTGGCAATCTTCTTCCTCGATACACTCCCTTCTCCCTCCAACGTAGCATCATCCTCATCATCCCCCTCGGCCCCATCGGTCCCATCTCAGGATATCCCTCCCATACTTCCAAACTCTGGCTGGCTTCGGAACCCGCGACCTTGTCTTATGCGGCAATTGCTTGCGAGAAGCCCCCCGGCCCCCTCCTCAAAGGAAACTAAACCCAAAAAAAAAAGACCTTCGGGCTCTCTAGGTAACGATCCAGCAACGATGATTCCTGGAACCAGAGGGTGTCGCAAGCCCGCACCAACCAGCGGGTATACCGCAGGCGGAGGGATAGGTAGCAGATGAGCGGTGACGGTCAGCTCTTTGTCGAGTGTAAGAAGGACCGATAGAGGAGGATGCGTGGCAGGCATTTAGCATTGGATTCATGGGAGTGGGGTAGGGTGAGAAGTAAGTAGGTCAGCATGATGAGAGCATCAAGAATAGCCAGTCCTCGAATATTGAAATCATGGCTAGCATTAAGTAGTATGCTATGCTGGGTTGTGGTTGCGGCACATTTGTGAAGAGGAAACAGAGAGAGAGAGAGAGAGAGAGAGAGAAAGTACAGCACGTGATACCTAGGTAGGTACCTAACCGAAGCAAACAAACCTTACCAAGTACACGCACTGAAACCCCCACCACACCCCCCCTCACAAAACTCGGGAATTGCAGGCAACAAATGGAAGCGTTGGAGAAATTCCCAGCTACCTACCCTACACCTACCTCCCACTCTCTTTCCAACCTTGGGCCTTGGGAGATTGAAAAACAGTCCGCCGTACAATACCCGAGGCCAAGGGTTGCAGCAGCCTGCGTCGTTGAGCGAGCCTGTCTAATGACCACACGGTACTGCGGTTCGGTAAGCGAGTTTGGGGGCGATCCCAGTCCGATCACCGGCCAGGCGCAGGAAAGTGAGCCAAG